TTCCCCTTTTTCTCCCCAAAGCCCCAGTAGATAGTTGTATGTCATAGTTGCACATCCTTCTAGTTGCTGTATGTGGGACGTGGCCTCAGCATGGCAGGACAAGTGGTGTGTCGGTGCGTGCCCGGGATCTGAACCCGGTCCGCCAGTAGCGGAGCACATGCACTTAACCGCTAAGCCACAGGGCCGGCCCCCCTTAGATGTTTTTCGAGGCTGAGGGTTATAAATCTCTCCTAGATTTGCTTAAAATGGCATTACTCATACTACTGTTGTTTCCATTAATCTTGGTTTTTTTTTTTCTTTTTCTTTGCTGAGGAAGACTGGCCCTGAGCTAACATCTATTGCCAATCCTTCTCCTTTTTTCCCCTTTTTCTCCCCAAAACCCCAGTAGATAGTTGTATGTCATAGTTGCACATCCTTCTGGTTGCTGTATGTGGGATGCGGCCTCAGCATGGCAGGACAAGCGGTGCGTCGGTGCGTGCCTGGGATCCGGCGTGCACCAGCAGCAGAGTGTGCGCACCTAACCACTAAGCCACGGGGCCGGCCCCACCATTAATCTTGTTTTGCATGACATCTTGGAGAACTGGGAAATTTTTGTCTCACGCTCCCACGTTTGTACTGGAATTCATACTCTTAATCAAGAGGAGATGGAAATGTCAGGTTCCTGAGTGAGAGACAGAGTCAGAGTCACTCCCTCCTGTGTTACTATCCACCCAGGGCCAAACGGTATTCAGATATGAACTTTGTCGATTTTAGCCGCTGCTGAAGGCAGAATGTTCAACTGTCTTCATAATCCTGACCCCAGATCTGGAGTAGCTCCCCTGGTGATGACCAGGGACATAGAGGGGTTTCGTCTGCACACATAGCCAAGCCTCTGTGGTGGCCACCAAGGAGTATTCCCTGGGGGAGGGGGTACATGTTCTGACACATTTTATTACTTTTCCTCAGCGTAAAAATTGTAGGCTCAGGGTGATATCTAATTGCAACTCGCTTAGCTCATTTGCAGCAGATATCTCCCTGTGCTTTTATAGAAACATAAAAATCAAGCAAGCATGACTTCTAACCCAAGAGGGACTTTTTAACATTTTTTCTTCCATTGCTGCATATGAGTGGCCTATTTGGTAGGAAAGGACTCAAAAGCTTCAGGTATCTTGTTTAAAAATCCATAGGCAATGGTCTGTAGTTTCTTTCTACTTCACAGGAAGAGGGATTTTCCAAGGGTTTCCCATAGAGGCTGACATATATTATCTCATTCTATCCATACAACAAACCCAAGAGAAAGTCAGTGTAGTCAGTTTTTCATATGAAGGAACTGAGGTTCAGAATTCTTACTCAAATTTTTCTGGCTCCAAAGCCCATTCTCTCCTTGCACCATCGCACACAGCATTTCAAATAACTTGTATTTTGGGGATGAGAAACACAAGTCCCCAAATTCACAACACAAGACACCCCTCTATTTACTAGCTTTGTTATGTTGGGTAGATTACTTAAACTCTCCGTTTCTCAGTTTCTTTGTTTGTAAAATGGGGATATAATAATACCTACCTCATTGTTGTGGTGGGTTGTTGAGGATTAAATAAGTTAACATATGTAGAGTGTTTAAAATAGTGCGTGACACAAAGTAGGAAAGCCATATGGTTTGATAAAAACAAACCAAACCAAGGGCCACAGATTCTGAGACTAGAGTCAGTTCTGACTCTTGCTCCAAAGTCTTCCTCTATAAAACAGTTCTGAAATGGTAAAGTCAATGGGAAAATGAGTTGAATTTTCCAAATGCTCTATGCATCTCTTTTCAGCAAACATTTATAACATTAAACAGTGATAGTTTATTCCTTTGGTATTTGGAAACCACATCCAGTATAGAATAATTCAGATCCATTCACCAAGAGACCATTTATTTTTCATGCCAGGGAGACAGCAGGATCTTGTAAGTTTGGAGCCAATGGGTCTTTAAAGAATGGAGCCGGCAAAACGGGGAGACGAGGTAAATGGAGGCTGAGCAGGCAGGAACTGCCACGCCCTGTGAGGCTTGGGAATGGATAGAGCTCATCCTTGTTCTAGACATTATAGTGAAACTCTGGGTAGCAAGTGTCACTGAGCTAACATGAACTAAAACAAAAACAAAAAAGGAATGCATGGGTACATGTAATTGGTAAGTTCAAGGATGGTGCTCTTGTCAGGCAAGACTCGATCTAGGGGCTCAAGCAATGTCATTTGGGGCTTATCACCCTCATTGAAAAAAATTCCTCAGTTCTTATTTTTATTTTTTTATTAATAATATTTTTAAATAATTTTATTAATAAAATTATATTAATTAATAAAATAAATATTTTAATAATTTTATTAATAATCATTTTATTATTAATGTGTTGGCTTCATTCTCTTCTGCCACAGACAACTCTTGGCACATCATGGGAAAAATGATTGCTGATAGATCCACACCTTCATCCTTCCAGGAAGAGGGGCCCTTTCTCTCCAGTATCCAAATAGAACAATCTCATGGAAGGACCTGATTGGCCCTGCTTGGACCATCCTTGGACCAGTTACTATAGTCCAATCACTATGGTTGGTTGGATAGGGTCCTATGAGAGTCCCAACCTTAGTCATTGCCCTCCCTTGTGGAATAGGAGAGGCAAGGCTTTGGGTTGGAGAAGAAACAGCTCTCCAATTAAAGGGGAATGCTGGACAAACAAAAATCAATTAACATGCACTCTGCCCCTTATATCGAATCCCAGGCTCCCTCAAGCTCTCTTCCTCATTCCCCTCCAGTCTAGTTCCCAACTGGTTTCTGGCTCTATTTACCTTTTGTAATCTCACCTTCTCTTAGATTTAATCCCCTTGACTCCTGACTCTTGTCTGCACCTCAAGGATTGTGGCTCAGGTGTGCTTTACCACTCTCTCTGCTTTAGACAACTGCCTTGAGTAAGATTTCCTTCTTTGGCAAGTCCTACAGAGCCCAGCTTCTGGCACCAGTTTTGTCTTTTTGATCCCATTGAGCTTCCCAGAACCAGACATCTTGTGTGACATCAGGATATAATTAGGGTTTATGTGGCTGACAGTGGTAAGTCTTCAGTTTATATAAATGCACTGAAGGGAATGAGGGTTGGGATCTCAAGAACATTGGGAAAGGAGGGACCTGAGGATTAACAATGTATCAGAGTAAGAGCATTGCTATAGATTAGGTCCTAGGAAAACTGTGGGACTTGGAGATTGAAGGGAGTTAGGATCACTCCAGGGTCAATTAGAAACATGGGGACATCAATATAGCTTCCTTTGATTTGGGGGAGGGGTTGATTTGGTAGTTGGACTTGGAGAAGTGGCTTGATCAAATTCAAGCATGAGCTTTTAACAAGACTGCCTCTTAGGTAGTGTGTTCTTTTATCAGGAGGCATTTAATCTTTGATCATTTATGCTTTTGTGATTTTGGCAGCCGTTGATGATCATTCCTTAGATACATTAATAAGAATTGCAAAGTAATGATATTCTAAATCTCTCATTCCTCCTTCATTAATTTTCTATAATACTTTTATAAGGAGAAACTTTTATCTATTTGTTTCCCAGTGGTACAGTGTATATAGGAAAGACAAGATAAATTCTTGATTTTTAAAAAATGTTTTCCTGTTTTCAAAATAGTGAGTTAATTCATTAGCATCTCCAATGGTGACCAAGAGTTTTTTGTAAGTATCATTATGAACTCATGGATCTAATCATATTTAATATGTTTCAATCTGTTGAAGTTATCCTTATTGATACTCAAATTGCTCCTATTTTGGCCAGTAGCATCCCTTTAAGTTGGCTTCTGGGTCCTTTTGATACAATGCTAGGAGTCTCTCCTCACTTCCTTGCTTTCTGGTGAGGTGAGATGCACAGGCTCATCTGGTAGATTTCTTCCCCAGACCTGGAATTGGCCGTTTCTTCAAGGAGCCCTGGTTCCCTTGAGCAGGAGATAGAATCTCAAGAACACAGCCTAGGTGCTAGGGAGTTATTTTATCTTCTAAAGTAACAAGAATGGTCAGTTATTAAATTACATTCTACATAAATAATAATATATGATAATTACTAATTCCATGAAAATGCTCTACAGATTTTCAGAAATTTTGGAGGGTATATTTGTCAGAGTTCTCCAGAGAAACAGAACCAATTGTCTGTCTGTCTATCTTTTTATCTATATATATACATAAAAATTTTTTTTTATGAGGAATTGGCTCATGTGATTATGCAAGATGAGAAGTTCCACAATCTGCAGTCCACAAGCTGGAAACCCAGGAAAACCAGAGAAGCAATTCCTGTCCAAGGCTGAAGGCCTGAGAACCAGGGGAGTTGATGGTGTAAATCCCAGTCCAAGGGCCGAAGTCGCAGTATAAGCAGGTAGGCAAGAAGGAAATCATCCTCCTTCCTCTGCTTTTTGTGTATTGAGGCCTTCAGGGATTGGATGATACCAAACCACATTGGGGAGGGTTATTTACTGTAATGAATCCATGGATTGAAATGTTAATCTCATCCGGAAACATTGTCATAGAAATAATATTTAATCTGTCCCTGTGGCCCCTTCAAGTTGACACACAAAATTAACATCACAAAGGGTATGTTTGACAATATGTGTATGTTTGACAATATGAGTATGTTTAAATAGTTTTGTGGAATGCCCCCCAATTCTCTCGAGAAGCTCCTCAGGGTCTTCTTAGAGATACAGGCTGTTTTCCTCCTGAGGGGTTGAAGCTGAGATGTGATAAGAGGCCTGTGGGACTCCTGATCGGGTGAGACGTGCTAAATGAACAGAGAAATCAAACCGTGGTTTCAAATATAAGCCTAACATTGAAGTCACTGGGCCAGATGCTTCCCATTTCAGACATTGATTTGTGTGAGCAAGCTGTTTCTCACTTGGGCAGCCCTGTGTAATAGGCCTCGGGAGGACTGGCAGCCAGGATTTATTTATTTAACAGTGATTAAACATTCGCCCAAGCAATGCAGGATGCCAGCTGGTGGGAAAACTATCAGAGAGGCTGGAAAGGCCATATCATCCCATCTGCATGTTTTTTCATATAGGTGAGCTGTGCAGAAAGCTAAAATTTAATCTTGGTGTGCTTAATCTGAGTTCAGTTGGTTGTTGATTGTAGTGTTCAGTTTCACCATGCTCTGAGAGCCTGATGCAATTATTTCTTCCATGGGGCCGTTCCTACCAGGAGGTCTGGAATGCAACTTTCCACTGGTTGAGTTCCTGCTTCCCGGGACATTGCTGGACATTGTTCAAGTAGTGTAAAGAGCAAGACTCCCCTTTGTAAATGAGTTAACACCACCACCTCCTCTTTTCTCTTCAAAATATGGCATTTTATGTGTTTTCTGATGCAGGTCAACTAGAGGGTTCCGGAATCTTTAGCTGGGGGAATTCCAGGCCTTGCACTCAGCATTTGTTTAAGTGCGTGAGGACTTTGAGTGGCCCTTATCCGCGCATCTGAAGAGGGTCGTTGACTTTGCTTTCCAAAAATGGTTCGCTTCATTCTTCCGACTGAAGGTGGACAGTGGAATTTTCAGAACAAACATCTGATTCGCAGAGCTGATTGGCTTCTGGGGGAGGATATCAAGGCACATTTGCATGTTTGGGGCTATCACCAAGGCAGACTAAGGATGTGGAGTGACTAAATCCAACAGATGGTCAGCCCCCGAGATAGCGTGACGTCATATCATTCTCCAGCTGATGTTAAAGAAGTGAGCTCTTCAGTGGGGCCTATGCCATGTGTTCAAGTCTCTCTAGCTAGCACCATCATGAGAAAGCATATCCCTATGATATTTTTATCGAGGAGGCTGGCTACATGTTTTACTTCTGGGGGAGCACGGAGCTTTCTTTCACCTTCAACTCACACCAGTTTATGGGGGAGAGGGAGCTTATTTGGGTCAAAAATTGACATAATTAGACAAACATATGTAGGAACAGAGTTTCTGGTGGGCATAAAAATGAATTATAAACAACATTAATTGAGTGCATATTATGTGCCAGAAACAACGCTAAACATTTTACATGAATGGTTTCTCGCAGTTCCTCATAACAACCCAATGAGGTAAGAATTATTATTGATCCCTGTCTTAGTTTGTTTAGGCTGCTATTAAAAAAGTGCCATGGGGGCCAGCCTTGTGGCATAGTGGTTAAGTTCTGCGCTCTCTGCTTTGGCAGCCCAGGTACATGGGTTTCGATCTTGGGCATGGACCTACACCACTTGTCAGCCATGCTGTGGCAGAGACCTACATACAAAATAGAGGAAGATTGGCATGGATGTTAGCTCAGGGCTAATCTTCCTCAGCAAAATAAAACAAGTAACATGGGCTCAAACAACAAACATTTATTTCTTATGGTTCTGGAGACTGGGAAGTCCAAGATCAAGGTGCCAGCAGATTTGGTGTCTGGTGAGGGCCCTCTTCCTCATTCATAGACAGCCATCTTCTCACTGTGTCTTCACAGGGTGGAAGGGGCAAGAGACCTCTCTGGAATCTCCCTTATAAGGGCACTAATCCCATTCATGAGGGCTCTACCCTTATGACCTAATCACCTTCCAGAGGCCCCACTCCTAATACCATCACATTGAAAGTTAGAACTTCACATATGAATTTTGGGCAGACACAAACCTTCAATCCATAACAATCTCTATCTTACAGATGAGGAAACTGAGGCTCAGAGAGATTAAGTTATGTTGAGTGCATGTTGTGTGCCAGAAACCGTGCTCAGCATTTCACTTGGATTATTTCACATAATCTTTTACAATGACTCAGTGAGGTAGGACCTATTAGTAATCCCCATGTTAGGTATGAGGAAACTGAGGCACAGAGATTTAGTAATTTCCCCAAGATTGCACAGCAGTGAGTGATATCTCCCACATAAGCTGTGTTTTGGAGGAAGGAACATCATCTTTAAAAGGCCATATAAAACAAGGGTAGGCTAGGGGCTAGCCTGGTGGCATAGCAGTTAAGTTGGTGTGCTCTGCTCCGGCGGCCTGGAGTTCGCAGGTTTGGATCACGGGTGCGAACCAATGCACTGCTTGTCAAGCCATGCTGTGGTGGTGTCCCATATAAAGTAGAGGAAGATGAGTATGGGTGTCAGCCCAGGGCCAATCTTCCTCAGCAAAAAAGAGGAGGATTGGCATCAGATGTTAGCTCAGGGCTAATCTTCCTCAAAAAAAAGAAAAGAAAAGAAAAAAAACAAGGGTAGGCTTCAGGGCAGTAGAAGTAAGAATTGGCACCTGTCCGGCCTCTGTCTCCAGCCTAGACAGAGTCCTCGTGGCCCCACTGTGGCTGGGAGCTCACCCTTAGGGATGTGAGAGGGCCACGTGCAGAACCCACCTCTGTGTTCAGGCCTCACAGACAATTTCCACTCAGTAAGCCCTTTCAAAACCCTTGTAACCCAGAAAGTCTGCATTGCATCATGCTTCTGACGGGCTATTAGTAGTAGTAATAACAATTTATAATGGGGTAACTTTTTGAAAGAAATGTCTTCTTTTTTTGCTTAGTGTTAACGCAACTATAAAATAAGGGAGCCCAACCTGAGCACGAGGGAGATGTAGTGGAAAGATGGGGGTCTGGGGAGATGAGACCTTGCATAAGTCATTTCCTTTCTCTTGGATCTTGGTTTCCTCATCTAAAATGATGGGTTAGGTTAGACCAGAGTCCCGATCAGAATCCCTGAGATGTGATCATAACTCATTTGCAGATACTCCGTGGGTGAGAGGCAATATTGAGAACCGCTTACTGACAGGTGTAAGGTCAGTGTCCTCCAAGTGTCCATTGTTGCTTCCAAACCACAAGTGTTCCATGCTCTTGTAACCAACCCTCCGACTTCAAGGCTCATGCCATCTGGCTCTACCCATCTTTATTGTTCCTTTCTGTTACTCACCACCCACCACATTCACTGCGACTTTGACAGGTGGCTTAGTGACTTCTTCCCACCATCTCATTGTCATCCTGTTTACTTTCACTGTCTGCGTGAATGGCCAGTTCAACTTCCTAGCCTCTCAGTTCCTTGGTGTTTTCACCTCCGTGATCCACGACCACCACCCAGAACTGCATTGCCTCAGAGATCTTAAGCTACAGTAGTCTACTCCCTGCCTACATTCCGTGCTCCCCTACTCTAACCAGTCTCTAGGCAGTACCCTTTTCTCCTTGCCCGTTTTTCTTTCTGCCATGTCTCTGGCAGCAGGCCATCCCATTCCATGATGCATCCAACTGTGTGCTTTCTTCTTTCCTGTCCTGGTGCTGCCAAGAAATGCCAAGCACTGGTGGCGAAAATCCCACAATAATGCAGATGTATGCCATAACAATGTGTGTTTTCTAACTCCAGCCAAGGACTTAACATTGCCTAGCAATATTTCTACATTCTTTCTCTCCTCCCTCACAACAGCTTCTTCCAATGTGCACTACAATCTTCAGGTTACATGTCCCTCTGCTATGCCATCTCTATCACTTTCAGCAGACAACCTTTCCAATAAGCTGGAAAATTCTTAAATTCCTGCCCTTTCTCTACTGCCGACTGCCAACTTAGCAATATCCAGTGGGAGAGATTTTTTTCCTCTTGTGAAGGATTCATTTCTCCACTTGAATTTTGGATTCTACCCCCATGACAGAATAATTTACTGTGATATTAATTTGTGCTTGTCCTATGTTCCTCACCCATCCCTACCCCCATCACCCCTTGTCTCAAAGATGGTTTGTGGCAAAGAGAAAAACAGAGTTTTCTGGTAGTTCTGTTCTCTGTAAATATCTAAGCTTACTGAAGAGGGGACAGGTAGAGAAGGGGTGATCTGTAAAGGCAGGAAGAGGGGAAAGTGATTTCCTGCGTATCAAGAGGAGCCTGCAGGTGGAGAGGAGAGGGGAATTCCTACCAGTAATGGGGCTTCAGTGATGGTGCCCTGGGGATACTGGGTTGTCTGTGTGAGAAATCTAAGGATGCTGACCTCCAGGCCTATGGACTCATGGTCTCCCTCAAAGCAGATTGGGTCCTGCAGGCTTGGAGAAAGAGCATCTCTGGGCTCTGTGCTAACAATCAGAGTGGCCATCCAGATGTTCTGATGCTGTGCAAGGACCCTTGCCTGATCCTTGGGAGGTAGGAGAGACACCATATTGACTGCAATTGAATTTTCCACCAGAGTTAATGTGCTCGAGAAGGAACTGTGATCTGAATTGGTTTGCAAGGTTTATACCTCCAACTCTCCCCTGAAACCTCAGGGACCTCACCCCTTTAGTTATCATCTCTCCCCTCTCTCATACCTCTGTCCCACCTCCTCTGCTGGTTCTTTCCCCTCAATATGTACACACATTCAAACCTCTCACATCTTGAAAAGATACCCTTCCCGGGGCCCCATGCGTCCCCTCGCTATCCTTCCATCTCTCTCCTTCTATACATACGCATCTTCTTGAAAGAAACGTCTACTTGGGTCATGTCCATTTCATCTCATCAACTTCACTGACTGGCTTCTCTTAGCC